TTCATGGCCATGGAAAACAGCAAAAGCAAAAGGGGAGGAGAGAGAGAGCAAGCCTCTTTCCTTCCCTTATATTGTATGCAGGTTACCCACCGCAGAGCAGGCGTAGCACTTACACCCATAATCCCAGCGTTAGACCATGACTTAGTCACAAACTCTAGAATCTGCCCCAATGACTGCATGAGGCTTTGGGGAGACATCCAGACAAAAACCATAACAGGTAGGATACCAAGAAGAGGAATAGCTGGGTCGAATGGAACCTCTAGTCCTAGAATTCTGAGGAATCTCCACATGGATTTCCAAAGTGGTTGCAGTCTACACTCCCACTCACAGTGGAAAAGGGTTTCTTTTTCTCCACAGGCCCACCAGCATTTGTTATTGGGTTGATTTCTTGATGACAGCCATTCTTTCTGGAGTGAGATGAAATCTCATTGTTGTGTTAATTTGCATCTCTTGAATAACCAGTGATATTCATATATTTATTTGCAATTATTTTTTCTTCTTTTGAGAAGTGTGTATTCATTTCAGATGCCTATTTTTGGATTGGATCTTTAAATTTGGGGGTCTTGATTTTTTCCAATTTTTTATATGTTCTAGATATTAGTCCTTTGTCTGAGGAACAGCTGACAAAAAATTTTTTCCCATATTGTGGATTGTCCTTTCACTCTGTTGGTGCTTTCTTTTGCTATGTAAAACCTCTTTAAATAAGATGAGATGCAAGATGTTGATTCTTTGTGATATTTACTGTGTGATCAGGTTTTATTCATAAAGTCTTTACACCAGTGTCTTACAGAGTTCTACCTGTTCTATCCTCCAGCAGATTTAATGTTTCCATTTTAATATTTAGATCTTTGATCCATTTTGATTTTAGTTTAATGCACAGTGAAAGATACAGGTCTTGTTTTAAACTTCAGCATCTGGAAAACCTGTTTTTCCTGCACCATTTATTACAGAGGCTATCTTTCTCCCTGTGAAGGTGTTTGCCTCCTTTTTCAAAGACAAGATGGTTGAATGTTTTTGGAGTTGTTTCTGCATCTTCTAATCTGTTCCACTGAGCCCCAGTCTGTGTTTTTGCCAGTACCATGTGGTTTTTATCATAATAGCTTTGTAGTATACTTTCAAGTCAGGAATTGTGATGTCCTCTGCCTTGCCTTTGTTGCCCAGAATTGTATTTGCTATTCTAGGTCTTTTCTGGTTCCAAATGAACTTTAGGAATGTTTTCTCTAATTCTGTGAGGCATGTTGTTGGAATTTTGATTGAGATTGCATTAGATCTGTGTGACAATTTTGAAAGTGTGACCATTTTCACTATATTAGATTTTCTTACCCAATATAGTGAAAGGGAGCAAGGGATATCTTTCCATTTTCTGATATCCTCTTCAATTGCTTTGTTCAGAATACTGTAGTTTTCAGTGTAGAGGTCTTTTACTTCCTTTGTTAGATTTATCCCTAGCTGTTTCATTTTGGGGGTGCTATTGTGAGAGGTGTGACTCTCTGAGTTTTCACTGTGAGCTTGTTTGTTTACAGGAATACTATTGAGTTTTGAGTGTTGATTTTGTATCCAGCTACACTATGCTGAATTTGTTTTTTTTATTTTTAAACACAATTTATTATTCAGAGAGAAGAAGATATATAAAAGTTGAAGGAGAAAGTAAAGCAACATAATTTTTCATCCTGCTTTATTTTCTATTAACTTGGAAAATTAGCTCTTTGCATTCCACATAACATCTAAAATGAAATGATTTTAATAATGCCTAGATGCCTTTCCACTTAAAAAAGACTCATGAGTTTTCTTTGATTCTTGAAAGTAATCACAAAAATATGAAATTCTAAAATCAGTGTTCCTGCCAGTAATCATTACTTGTTTCCTGAGCAATACATTCTCTTTTAAACCAGACAGTCTTCATAGACACAATAGCATTTTCTCAGCAGTCATATGCACCAAATCCAGAAACTATCTATTTTTAAATGGGAAACATCCCCATCCCCATAGTTAGAAAGATAAATAACTCCCAAGATGAAGGTGTTCC